ACTATTTTTTAATTATATTTTCTGTTTTAGATTTCTATTAAATGATTTATTTTTTGTTTAGGACTTAAGTCTATTATTGATTAATACCTAGGTTAGTTAGGACATTAGTCTCTATCATAATACACTAAATATTTATATCTAATGCACAATAATGAATAAAATTTTAAATATAAAAATTAGTTTTGTTTGTCTTGATTATGAAGATAAAAGAAAGTTGTTTTAAAATAAATCACATTAATAAAAATATTTCAAAATAATCTACTTGACAAGTATTATTAATATTTCCATTATTAATGTATTAAAATATAACTTTTTTATTAGAATTTGTACATTTATTTTTGACAATACATAAGTGTCAAAATATTTAATATAATATTTTGTATAAAGGGACCACATATTTGCTTAAATATCTAATTATAATTTCTATATATTTAATATTTATAATGTTTTCAAGATTTTCTATATTAATAACTATTGTTTGACAAATGATTTAAAAGAACATTTAAGTTTGCACTAACTAATAAATAGTATTTTTAATTAAATAAACCGACATCATTAAATGTAAGTACACTAAAGTAATTGTTTAAACCTAATATAACCTAATTACAAGATAATAAACTAATTTATACACATAAAAAACTAATGTATAATAATTTATTTAATGATTATTTTGTTTTCGCGAAAATTATATTGTAATGTTTATCGCATTTAATTTATTTTGCTATAACATACACAACACATAAGTTATTATTAATTATTGTTAACACAATGTTCAAAAAAAAATGCATAACATTTACTTGAATAGAGTATTACCACTAGAATTGGCAAACAAACCCATTGAGAATATACTACACAGAATTGGCCTGAGTTTTAGCATATTCTCAAAGCAAAATTCAAAACGATCATGGTTTAATCACCCACTATTAATATTTGTTACATTAATTATCTTCATTAGCATTAAATTTGCGCTCATTAAATACGACGGGTGGGAGCGATTACATTTGGTTCTGGGCAATTTTGGATATTTCTACGGTTTGAGCAAGCCATTTAGCGCCATGTTCATTTTCCTAACTTCATGGGCCGTACATTCCCAAATGGTCATGTTTTATAATCACCGTAAAGCTATTTCCATGAATTACATGGTAATATTTGCAATGCTAGCTGGTCGGCGGACACCTCTATCAATTGGGCTAATAAACACCAAGTCAATATACAAATTGGCTAGACAATCTAAATTGCTTTACAAAATTGTCTATTGGAACAACACATACTTTATGGTATTTGTGTCCATGGTGGTTTTAATAATCGTGTATTTGTTTAATACGACCCTGTTCAATACATTGGTATGGGGTGTACCAAACGGTCTCTTTTTCTGGGCCTGGGGTTACTATACCTGGAATATACTGTTATATCAATTGTTATACTTTTACATTATATGCAAGTATTTTATCATTAAATTTAAAGACCTTAATGCAAAATGCTTGACCCTATGTAAGAAAAATCAGTCATTGTATAGCGGGGTACTAGTTATTGCCAAATACACCATGATCGCCAGAGAAGTAGCTGAATATAATAAAGTTTACTGGTCAACGTTCATGTTATCATTATGGTTACATTTGGGGATGTTCAATATTTTATTGCTCTTAATGAGTGTATTCTTTCCGATGATATTGTATTTCCGATTTGTGTTAATTTACTGTACATTTGTATTCTTCACGTTATTTGTGTTTACTATATTCACCGCATCTGACGTTAATTGTGTGGCAAATAAATCGCGATTAATATTTATCCAACTTATGTTGGCTATCGATAAATATAGCCGACAAAAGAAACTAGCTGGCAATTTAACTAGGTTAAAAGTTAGTTCAATTTCAAACCAATACTTATCCGTAAATAAATAATTATTTGTTTTATTTTAATTTATTTTACAATTTAAATTTTAGTTTCAAACAGTGATTGAACGAACGGTTGATAAAAGGGTGGGCTTTTCGTGTCATAATTTTTTTACAATTAATTATTTCCGCTGCTATGAAGTAAATATTAAATTTAACTATTTTAGTTATTTAAGTTTAATAATTATGGTAATCTATTTTTTAGATATTGGCATTTTTAATTATTATGTTCCTCAAAATATATGAAATAAATATCACTAAACATGGTCTATTGAATTGTTATTAGTTAAACAACAAATATAATAATTAAGTATTATATATATAGTAAATTTAATTTTTTTTATAATTTTGTATTTAGTAAGTTTAAATATATTTTTTGTTAATTATTTTGATGGCAATAATAATAGTAATTAAAAATGTTATTTAGATTAGACTGTCCTTGATACAAATAATTACAATTACTATTATTACTTAAATTGCATTCTTTTAAATTAATCATAACTGACACTTAAAATATATAACTATGTACTCATCTTACTTAATATTTTAAGATTGTATAACATAATAAATAATAAGTTACAATTTTAATAATAATAAGCCAATTATAAAATTAAATCATGCCAAACAAACATAATAAGCAACATAACAAAATTGTGCACCAGAATGACCAAGTAGTGACCACATGCGGACTGGGCTCGTGGAGACCCGAGTGGCTACAAGTGTTCGCCACCCCATTCTGGTTTGCCATAGTGTACGCCCTGATAGGTGTGGTGCAGACAATGTCCACAACATATTTGATAGCAGTGTTAACAACAGTGGAAAAGAGGTTCGCATTTGACTCCAAGATATCGGGTGTTATATTAATTGCCGATAATATAGTAGAACTATTTGTAAGTTTTAATTAAGTAACTTGATAATTATTTCTATTAAATGATTTATTTTTTGTTTAGGACTTAAGTCTATTATTGATTAATACCTAGGTTAGTTAGGACATTAGTCTCTATCATAATACACTAAATATTTATATCTAATGCACAATAATGAATGAAATTTTAAATATAAAAATTAGTTTTGTTTGTCTTGATTATGAAGATAAAAGAAAGTTGTTTTAAAATAAATCACATTAATAAAAATATTTCAAAATAATCTACTTGACAAGTATTATTAATATTTTCATCATTAATGTATTAAAATATAAATTTTTAATTAGAATTTATACATATATTTTTGACAATACATAAGTGTCAAAATATTTAATATAATATTCTGTAAATAGGGGCCACATATTTGCTTAAATATTTAATTATAATTTCTATATATTTAATATTTATAATTTTTCAAAATTTTCTATATTAATAACTATTGTTTGACAAATGATTTAAAAGAACATTTAAGTTTGCACTAACTAATAAATAGTATTTTTAATTAAATAAACCGACATTATTAAATGTAAGTGCACTAAAGTAATTGTTGAAACTAGTTGAACCACAATAACCTAATTACAAGATAATAAGCTAATTTATACACATAAAAAACAAATGTATAATAATTTATTTAATGATTATTTTGTTTTCGCGTAAATTATATTGTAATGTTTATCGCATTTAATTTATTTTTCTATAACATACACAACACATAAGTTATTATTAATTATTGTTAACACAATGTTCAAAAAGAAAATGCATAACATTTACTTGAATAGAGTATTACCACCAGAATTAACAAACAAACCCATTGAGAATATACTACACAGAATTGGTTTGAGTTTTAGCATATTCTCAAAGCAAAAATCAAAACGATCATGGTTTAATCACCCACTATTAATATTTGTTACATTAATCATTTTCATCAACATTAAATGCGCACTCATTAAGTACGACGGCTGGGAGCGATTACATTTGGTTCTGGGCAATTTTGGATATTTCTACGATTTGAGCAAGCCATTTTGCGCCATGTTCATTTTTCTAACCGCGTGGACCGTACATTCTCAAATGGCTATGTTTTATAATCACCATAAGGGTGTAGCCATGAATTTCATGGTAATATTTGCTATGTTAGCTGGCCGGCAAACACCTCTATCAATTGGGCTAATAAACACCAAGTCACTATATAAATTGGCTAAACAATCTAAATTGCTCTACAAAATTGTCTATTGGAACAACACATACTTTATGGTATTTGTGTCCATGGTGGTTTTGATAGTTGTATATTTGTTTAATACCACCCTGTTCAATACATTGGTATAGAGTGTACCAAACGGCCTGTTTTTCTGGGCCTGGGGTTACTATACATGGAATACACTTAGAGTCGTTTATTTTCACATTGTACTATTTCACAAGTTGTATAAATTCACACAATGGTACTAACCCCATCTTGGGGTATATGTTTTAGTATGGGCCAATTTCACAGCTCTATAATGTCACTTTCACACAAAAATGTGATTGTGTTAACATGTTGTGCATAGGAAGCATCTTATATTTTCACATTTTATTGCAAAAAATTTTCCATAATTTGAATAAATTCTTTGGTATAAAGGTTAGTTGTAAACTATCAAAATATATATTTCTAACAAAATTCATCAATGTTGGCTTGTAAACCACTCAAATAACTCATTGTCGACCATAATTTACAGCTTATTATGAAAATCATGTTTAGAAACCATGTATACCACAGAATGCGTTGTCCCGTTTCTACAGGTGTTCATATACAACGTATATACCGTATAAAATGACATTATTTTTACCGGTAATACTATGCCACATATATTATTTGTTTGTAGTGTTCGTAGTTTGTAATGAAAATATAAGTTTTAGTTTGTAAGTTTTTAGGAGTAAGAAATTTTAATTATTTCTTAGATTAAACTTATTTGAACTTGATAAGTCTAACCGGTAATAATATACGGTATATACGTTGCATTTGAACACTCGTAGAACGAGGCAATGCATTCTGTGATGTAAACGTATAGTTAATTGAAAAAAGTGATGCAACATTTTTATCTATAATTTCACATTCTGTAATTTCACACAACGAAAACTACGGTCCCAATTATGTGAAATTAATCGACTTTAAGTTTATACTGTTATATCAATTGTTATACTTTTACATCATATGCAAGTATTTTATTATTAAATTTAAAGTCCTGAACTCAAAATGTTTGACCCTATGTAATAAAAATCAGTCATTATATAGCGGGGGTAATTGCTATTGCCAAATGCACCATAATCGCCAGAGAAGTAGCTGAATATAATAAGGTTTACTGGTCAAAGTAATTGGTTCATAAACAAGAAAGTTCATGCTATCATTGTGGTTAAATTTGGGCATGTTCAATATTTTAATGCTTTTAATGAGTGTATTCTTTACGATGATATTGTATTTTCGATTTGTGCTAATCTACTGTAAATTTGTATTCTCGACGTTATTTGTGTTCATTATATTTACCGCATCTGACGTTAATTGTGTGGCAAATAAGTCGCAATTAATTTTTATCCGACTTATGTTAATTATTGATAAATATGCCCGACGAAATAAACTAGCTGGTAATTTAACTAAATTAAAAGTTAGTTTATTTTATATAATATTTTATGTGTGATTAAATATTAATTTGTTATATTTTAATATATTTATAAATTTAAATTTTAGTTTCAAACAATGATTGAACGAACGGCTGATAAAAGGGTGGGCTTTTTGTGTCATAATTTTTTTACAATTAATTATTTCCGCTGTTATGAAGTAAATATTTTAGTTATTTAAGTTTAATAATTATGGTAATTTATTTTTTAGATATTGGCATTTTTAATTATTATGTTCTTCAAAATATATGAAATAAATATCACTAAACATGGTCTATTGAATCGTTATTAGTTAAACAACAAATATAATAATTAAGTATATACTGTATAGTAAATTTAATTTTTTTTATAATTTTGTATTTATTAAGTTTAAATATATTTTTTGTTTATTAATTTGATGGCAATAATAATAGTGATTTGAAATGTTATTTAGATTAGACTGTCCTTGATACAAATAATTACTATTACTATTATTACTTAAATTGCATTGTTTTAAATTAATCATAACTGACACTTAAAATATATAACTATGTACTCATCTTACTTAATATTTTAAGATTGTATAACATAATAAATAATAAGTTAAAATTTTAATAATAATAAGCCAATTATAAAAAATCATGCCAAACAAACATAATAAGCAACATAACAAAATTGTGCACCAGAATGACCAAGTAGTGACCACGTGCGGACTGGGCTCGTGGAGACCCGAGTGGCTACAAGTGTTCGCCACGCCCTTCTGGTTTGCCATAGTGTACGCCCTGATAGGTGTGGTGCAGACAATGTCCACAACGTATTTGATAGCAGTGTTAACAACAGTGGAAAAGAGGTTCGCATTTGACTCCAAGATATCGGGTGTTATATTAATTGCCGATAATATAGTAGAACTATTTGTAAGTTTTAATTAAGTAACTTGATAATATTTCAAGTTAATTTTGTTTAAATAATACATAATCACGATGTTTTAACTATTTTAGCTAAGCCCGTTTGTTGGCTATATGGGCAATCGCTACAGTAGACCGCGTATGATAGCTATTAGTGAACTGATATTGGTGTTATCTTGTGCAATAAATGCCATGCCTTACTTTATATATGGCCCGGGAACACATCTACTTTACGATGACACCCTACTGTCCAAAATGACATCCAATAATACACTTTACGAATTGTGTCCTGCAAAAAATTACACAGTAGATTGTACGATGACTGGTGGTCACTCTACTATATGGGGAGTTGTTATTATGCTTGTAATCGGTAGTGCGCTGAGGGGTGTTGGCTATACCGCCTACTGGGTGTTTGGTTTGACATTTGTTGATGATAGTGTTAGCAAAACTAGCTCGCCACTTTATATGAGCATGCTCGGTATATTGAAAATGGTAGGCCCCGCCGGTGGTTTTATATTGGGTTCGTTTTGTTTACAATTTTATGAAGATCCATTTTGTGAGTATTAAATATTTAATCTTTAATTTTTATTTAATTTAATAATATTATTTATATTGGCAGTCGATATTCATGTTACGAACACAGATCCGCGATTTATTGGCGCATGGTGGTTAGGATTTTTAGTAATTGGAGCACTGTTGTTTCTAGTAAATTTGCCCATGTTTTTATTTCCAAAACAACTTCAAGGGGCCTCGGTCAAAGAAATCGATCGCGTTAAATATATAAACAATCAGGGTAATATTATCTTATCAACTTTATGCAATAATATTTAAGAAATAATTAATTAAATGTAAAAATTATCTAAATTACATAGGGTTTATGGACTGTACTAAACGATTGTTAACAAATCCACTGTTTATGTTTAACCTGATTGGCATTGCATTACGGTATGTGGGTTACGGAGGTTACGGTACCACCAAGCCCAAATATATGGAATCCCAATACCGGGTGTCCGGTAGCAAAGCTAATTTATTAACCGGTGTGACAAATTTATTGCCAATGGCAGCTGGCACTTTAGCCGGCGGTATAGGTATTTGGTATATTAAACCTAGAGCATTGTACTTGATTATATACATGTTTTGCCTGGAATGGGTGTCAAACTTGGCCATGTTGGGGTCAATGTTTTTGGGCTGCCCACCCCTACAACTCGGGCCAATCACTAATATTCAAAATGCAAAGTATAAATGTATTAATTTTTGTTCAAATTAATTGTAATTGATAAATTACTCATAGATTTACAATGAATGCCGAGTGTAATCAAAATTGTGATTGTAGTACAAGTGTGTTTACTCCGATGTGTTCAGCGGATAGGGTGACCACGTTTTTCTCACCATGTTATGCTGGTTGTACAAATTTTGATAAAGTTACAGGGGTACATAAGAATGACATAAGTTTTAAAAATCAAGTATCGTTTAGTAATTATATTTATACAAATTAATAGATTGCAACTAATTGTACTTGTATATCCATATATGGTGGACATGCAACTAGTGGTTACTGTCAGAGCGATGCCGACAATTGTACAAATTTGTACAATTTTTTAATAGTTAAAACATTGCCAGCAATTGTCACTTCCACCGTTAGGATTGGCAATATATTATTAACATTAAGGTAACCATATTTTAATCATTTAGCGATGCCGACAATTGTACAAATTTGTACAATTTTTTAATAGTTAAAACATTGCCAGCAATTGTCACTTCCACCGTTAGGATTGGCAATATATTATTAACATTAAGGTAACCATATTTTAATCATTAATTATAATATAAATATTAAATATGTAAAGAATAAGTCGTTTTATTTATAACATTTATTTATTTTATTAATTTTCAAACCATTTACAAAAAAAGTTACAATATATTTAATTTTCAGTTCAATTCAGCTATGAATAATGTGGTTTATAGGGTTGTTCGCTTTCTATCCCCCTTCCCATTGAACCCTCCTCCCCCGCTCTATGGGATTTAACATGGGATTGCAGCTTAAGTTTATGACATATGTTAACATGGGCAATGCTAAGTCTATGACATTTTTGCTAAATTTTATCATAGCTTTATAAATATTACAACTAGTTTATAAATTAATTACTTATATTATGCAGAGTAATCGATCCGAAAGACAAAAGCTTTGCTATGGGTTTTGCAAATAGCTTTTTGGCCTTATTTGGTAAATATAAATATTTTAACCCTAAATTTTTCATAATAAATTATAATTTCAAATACTAACATAATCATCACAATTGTATTGTACTTTTTTAGCATTCATACCTTATCCAATTATATTTGGTTCAATCGCCGACTCAGTCTGTTTGGTTTGGGAGAGTACGTGCGGGAAAAGCGGTAATTGTTGGCTATATGACCAGGATCGTTTCCGATACGTACTACACGGGGCGACACTTGCGTTAATAATAGTGGCCTCACTTTGCGATGTGATTATTATTATCAAACATAAAATGGTAGATAGTTTTTATGATGATAAAAACTCTGATGTTAGTACAGATAATGGTGGTATTGCTTTAGATTCAGTGAATATTAATATTATTAAGAATGTAGATTATGATGATAATATATTATCAAATACTTGAAGACATTTTAAAAATATGATTAAAATATTAATCGTAAAGTATAAAAATATTAATACACAACTACCGATACATTAAGTAATTAGCAGTAACATATTTAGAATGATATCGTGATATTGTTCTGATAAACAAAATTTGATTAATGTAATTTTTTCACTACACAAAAACTAATAAATTTATATATTTCTATGTTTAATCAAATCAATAATTTAATTAGTGTTATATTATCTTTAATTTTTAATTTGTTAAAGAAGTTTCCTTATATTAAACTACAATTCAGCAATGAACAATGTGGTTTATAGAATTGTTCGGCTTCTCTCACCCTCGGGATTAATCATTGCATTTGAAATGTGGAACTCTCAAAACAATTAACTTTATTGGTCAAATTTAACCGAAAATTTTTTAATGATGATTTAATTTGAAACAGCATTTATTGAGTGACAAAACACTGTCATTCATTTGTCTGTATGTCTTGTGTTTTAGGAGTAATCCACTCCCGAAGAAGGCCACTCCCGAAATAGCTTTGGCAATGTTATCCAATGGCAATCAATAAATTCAAAAAATAAATGTGATGAAATTTTTAAATTGGCTGGATCAATTGCTAAAATTTATACCTAATTTTTATTTTCTTTATCTAATCTTTGTAATAAATCACTTTACAGCATTTTATTATCTCATATTTAAAAAGTGTCATGGTCATTGTGCCAAAGCTATTTCGGGAGTGGACTTCTTCGGGAGTGGATTACTCCTAAACCACAGGACATACAGACAAATGAATGACATTGTTTTGTCACTCAATAAATACCCTTTCAAATCAAATCATCATTAAAAAATTTTCGGTTAAATTTTTAAAAAATTTTCGGTTAAATTTGACCAATAAATTAATTTTTTGTCAGTTCCACATTTCAAATGCACGCGTTACAGCTTGTGTCTATGATTATACTTTAACATGGGTAATCTTAATCCTATGGAGTTTATCTATAGACCTATCATATGCTAATGTTATTCTATTGGCAATGTTAACCTTATGGGAGATTATTTTTTATGGAAATACAAAATTTGACGGAAAGGGTACTTTTCATCATGTTTATCTTATGGGATTAATTTTAAGTCTATGAGAGAATGCTACATGGGTTTCTATTAAATTACACCTTAAGATTATGACATAAGTCAACATGAACAATTCTAAGTCTATTGGACTTATGTTTAACTCATGTACAATGGTATTTCTTTGGTACTGATGTAAATTATATGGATAATGTTTAGACTATGGCAAATCTATTTTACTCATATGTATATGTAAATAATATTAATCTATTTTTTATGTAGGCCCGAATAGTGGTTAACGTATAGCATCGCTGTATGAACCTTGTTTTTATATGTGTTGCCAAATAAAATAAATTAAAATAACATAAACAATAGAACCTATTAAAGTGCTCGAATATTAAATTTCATTGTAGGTGAAGCAATATTTTACATGTATAATACATTTTAATCGCAAAATTTTTAGTTTTTGTTTAGAGTATTTGAAGGTTTAAATTTTATAGATTTCATAAACCATTTTAATTTAACAACAAAATCAGCATGCTTATTTCAATAAAAATATTATATCAAATTGTTGCAAACGTGATATGTTTGATGGGATGTGTGTATCAAACGTATAAAANAAATTGTTGCAAACGTGATATGTTTGATGGGATGTGTGTATCAAACGTATAAAATAAGTTTATTATACTTTTCATACGAAACCACAACTAATGTCGTATACAAGCCTGATGTAGAAAAAACAATGATGCCCACAATTGTTTTGTGTATGAAAAAGGCGATAGTAATTAACGCAGATAATAAGAGTGATTATATAACTAGTAATATATTAAACTTAAGCGCATTTAACCGACTCTCTATTGGCGGACAATTTAACAGGTTAAAACCGCCTCATCCGTGGCACAATTGTTATTTATGGACCATGGACGGATTTAAAGTATCTTGTGCAAACGTTTATGGCTTTAATCACACTTTAACTTATAATCATTATTGCATGATATATATATATTTCTACTAACAAACAATACTATAGATTATGATGAATTTGTCTTAAAATTCAAAAAGCTGCCTATTTCAAATTATCTAGTAACTTTTTTGCGACCACCAAAAGAATCATGGTATTCAAATGAGACAAACACTGCAATTATTATTAGAATGAAAAATAACACAGCTTTTCATATTAGATTCAGGCAAACTGTGGTTAAATCATTTGTTAAACCTTGTCATGGCGATAATTATCAAGCACATTTAGACCACTGCAACATGATCAGATGTTTTATTGAGTCGGGAATAAATGGGAAACAATTAGCCCTATGGGAAGGAAAATATCATAATGAAACAAAATGTTATAATATTAATAAAATTTATTTTAAAGAGACGAATATATTAATCAACGCTAATGAAACAATGAATCAATGTCAAGCAAAATATTATGCTCAATATAGAAATAAACTTTGTGTTAAATACTGCAACGATTATTCCATAATCTTACATTTATTCATTTCCCAATGCTGTTCTTCTTAATTACCCTACGATACGATCACTAATTGCCTATCGATATACCCCACTATCGTTTATCCTCATTATTATTCCT